AAAGCAGCTTGTGTTTTTTCCAGAGAAAAATGTCCCACTACAGTATCCGCTTTTGATAACAAACTCCTCAGTCTTGTCCTGTCACAATTTGATAGCCCAGAGGCCCACGCACACGTTGCATGCCCACGTGCCCACACACACACATTTACCTGGGATCCAGTTCTGTTCTTTCACTCTAACAGATCAAAGCATTTCTACTCAGTTTGTATTTGCATTAACTAAAACATACTCATTGAATTTTTTTCCTCAAAGCTGTTCAAATAAATAAGATAAAAGTATAATCTTCGGAGTTTTAAAGTGGACTGCGCTGTTATTCCTATGCCTTAATAAAAAAATCATAAATCTTGCGTGCTTTCTCTGCCCTCCTTGCTTTACACATTCCATAGCAAAGCCAATACAATAATAATACCTTGGGGTTTGTGTAGGATTTCTAAATGTATGAACGTACTATGGTTCCTGAATAATGTTGCTAGCTCATATAAATGTACTGGAACTCTAAATTTAAGACCCATATTGTTATGAACAGCAAATCTATCACTAATGCTGAAGTCCAACACACTTTAAAACACTGAAATATTTGAAAAGTGATACTAACATAACAGCACAAAGAAATATTTAGACAAATTTGCCAGCAACTCAAAGCAAACAGAAAAACAGAGCTAGAAACATAGAGCAGTGCAACACACTCCAGCATATATCAAATGGACCTCGGGGAAGTCACCATGCACGTTCATATCCTCCAAATCATAAACAAAAAGGTTATTAAAAAAGAGTAGAAAGTTTATCATTAAGCAAGACATGCTTCACTTTATTTCCCACTAAAATTTTATAAGGGTATTTGACTCTCAAAATAGGGATTGACTACAGGGAATTAGAGAAGTTATCTGGCTTCCTCAAATGCCTGCAAGATAACCTGGCTGTGTTCTCGATCCTCAGCTTTGAGAGACAGCTCAGAGGCTGGGTTAGTCACTGATAGATATGCTTTACCACAGAATAGAAGCCATCTCTCAAGTAATAGCAATGGTCAGAGGGTGAAAAATCTGTGTGCTGTCCATCTCTCAAAGGTGAAGGCCAGTTCAAGTTTGAATGCAAAGAAATAGGTTGATCCCGATGCCAGTACGCAGAAGGGTTGAGCACATGCTGCTTTCCTGTCTGAAACTAAAGACCACGAGTTGAAAAGATGCACCGTACCTCTATTCACTGAACAGAGGCCATATCTGAAGAAAGCAAGGGGATATCAGCATTGCTTTTCCATGACACCTACCCAATAAAACAGTTCTTGGGGCCATCAGCAGTCAGACACAACTTGACAGATTTCTCAGAAGACCCTGTGATGTACCAAGAAACAAGTTGCCACCAAGATAGCTTAACGCTGACAGTAATGCTCATGGTTTAAAAACTGCTCAGAGTCCAGGGAGCAAGGCCAAATACAGCTGTGACATCGTCCAGAATCAGCTCCTGTCAGCATTACTTACGCTTCCGTTTAATGACGCTGGGCAGTTTTGTTCATGGTGAAGACTTTTCAGAATGTCATTTGTAATTTAAACATCTGCACATAGCCTTCACAACTGCGACGAGAACAATAACTAACTACACCCAGCACCGAAAGCAGCCCTCTGATGTGACCACCAATGGCTCAACACTTTCAGACTCTGGTCAACATATTTGGTAAAAAACTATGCAAGTTTTTCTGAACTTTTGCTATGCTGTTTGCTGGACAAATTTTCAGAAATAATGCAAGCACTGATGGGTGATGTCCCACTTCTTAGCTTGCTTGACACATTAAAAAAATGAGTTAATGGGAAAAATTCAGAAACAATGAATATTTGCAAAGGGGCAAACCCTCCAAAACCTCTGAACTAAAAACCTGTCTCCCTCCCACTCCTATGGAGTGTTTTAAAAAGAAACACACACAAAATCTAGTTGTTCTTTGTGCAACTACTGACTAAATGAACTTTTTGCAAAATGTAAAAGCATGACTAAAATAATTCTAGGTGGACTAACACATCCTTAGCTACGCAACAGTTATTGATCACCCCATTTCACAACATCTATTATCATGAATTTATCATGTAAGCTATACGCATACACACACACACACACACTTATATGCATATAAACTAATACCAAGAAGGTGAACAGAAACCATGTAGGGGCATCCGTGTCCGAGAATGACAATATTTCTTACTCCATGGAGTGAAGTAAATATTATCCTTACAAAATTCTGAGCCAAATTATTCATAATTTCATTACTCATAACAATGCATGCTGCATTAGGTTTGCATTATCTTGTAAGTGCAACTTAAACTAGGAAAAAATGCACTTCAGCTCAGAACTGATCTTTTTGTGGTATTATGACTATTACCTTTTCAGTATTGATTTGTGATCTGTTTTGTATTATCTAATTCAAGTCTGCTGAGTTTGGTTTGTGGTTTTCTTTTTAAAGCCACTTCAGGAACAAATTCCGCATACTTTTCTATTGAATATATTCCTAAATAATGGTACATCCTCTGTTCAGGAGTGCTACTATCACTTTAACCTTACCACAGTAAGGAATAACATTTGACTAAATTTTATAGCATACAATTATGCTAGAACATGCTTAGTGAAGAAATATCTCCCTAGCTTCAGGCAAGTAAGTTGGTTAATATCATGAAGCATGAGCAGACCTGAATTAACTGTATAGCAAGAGCTTTTTTTAATTATTTGTACTTTAATTACTACCTACACAATGTAGCAACATGTTTATTTTTCCCTTTTCACATGACTACATACGTGAGATATGTCCTTCACTGATCTATCTGTAAAATTTACTTCTTTTCCTGAACTGTTTAGAAACCCAAATAAAAACACATTCAAATAGTTCAAATCAGTTCTTCCAGCATCCAGAATTACCTAAACTACGTTGCTCAGTCATATGGTTTCATTGGGCTCTCTGGATATTGAGCTGAAGCGTGTAGCTGAAACCACTTTTTGTGAAATTCTGCAGATTTTCATTGATCAGGCTGCCCAGCTTTCTCTCCCACCATTAACAGTTGTGTGAACCCATAGGCATTTAGCGGTACTTTTTCTAGACTTTCTAGATACTTTTCTAAAAATACTATTGACCTTCTAACTAGCAGGCAGTCACTGACTGCAGCCATACTGAGCTTGAATGACTAATGAGAGCAGTCCCAAAGACTGGGAAAGTAGTAAAAGTAGTAGGTTTTTTCTTTTTCTTTTTTTTTGCCTTAGTACAGAATTAATGCACCCCTTAGGTCTCTCAGGTGAACTGCAGATGAGTTATAAACAGCAGTGGCAGCGGATTTGTGTTATCCTATGAAAATCATAAGGATGCACACATTATACCACGGACTCTGGGCAAGGGACTGCAGAATCACAACAAAGAGGGAAATGCATACCAACTATTAAATACTATCAGTTCTAAGCATGTGTTCATACCCTTTACATATCAGTTATCTGCGAGTTGCTAGGTAGGTAGCACACATCTGTGGTGCCTGCATTTGTAAAGCTTCATTACACTGCAGTTGCTTTCCTCAATTCCTCTGTCTTGGAAGAAAACCAGAGAACCGATGATGCCAGCAGAAGTACAGGTACCTTTTCATGGGATCAGTCTGAACAAACGGGAAACTCTGAAAGTGAACTCCATGCTAATTAGTCGGCTATGGTGAGGGTAAGTGGTGAGTCTTAGAGTGCTAACATAACTCAAAAGAAGCTGAATCTTCTTTCTTCAGATACTGAAAACCAATTCACCCCAGGGCTGACAAGTATGAACGCCTTCACGTTTAAAGGCAACTTTGTTCAGAAGTTCTAAAGCCAGTGGCAACACCATTTTAGAATGAAAATGCCATGTCAGCCACAAAATCACCAGTGCCATGCTATAAAGGGGGCCTGCACTATTACCCACCTAATGCAAAGCTTTACAGGCTTTGCATGCACTGAAGGAACGGTCATTAAAAGGCCACTTCTGAAAGAAAATAAAAACCTTCTCCCGCTGTGAAAAGCTTCCATCAAGTAAACGCCTAATGCTGATGCCTCCCCACAGCAGGCTATTTATTGCATGTTCCAGACAGTTTAAATAGGGCTATGCATACGGCAGCAGTAATGGAGGCACACAAACAAACAGTGGAAAAATGAAAAAATTCAACAAGGGTGGTTAAGAAGACTTCTCCTAATCTTGCTCCCTTCTCTCCATCCTGCTTACCACCTCTACGTGCAAGTACAAATGAAGGTATCAAATAAGCCTGCTCTTCCCACCTCCTTCCTTCTGTGTTCATTTGTCTATAAAAGATGCTTCTGAAAACTGAAATCTGGTCAGGGAGTGATTAAAATCCTGACCATCAAAAGCAAATCATGTTTGAAACAGATAAGCAACAGATATGGTAGAAAAACATTTCAGAAGAGCAAACTTGCACACAAAACATCCTTTTTCTTCTTGGTTGAATCTATCATTTTACATACATTTTCCTCACCAGAGTGAGGATTCTAGGGCCTCCCCTCTCTCCCCAAATCAGCATCAGTTACAAAATCGTCCTTCTTAGCAGAAGGATAAACTCAGTTAGTTCTGGTATGCCCTTTTTACATGCCTGCATTTGCTAAACACTCCAAATTACTTTGACCCTTTTCTGAAGTTACTGATTTCTGTAATGCCTCAGTACAAAGCCTAAGGCCTGAAATACAAGCATTTCAGTGAATTTCCTTCTCTCTCACAAAAACAATGTAACTCAAAAACAACAAAATCAAAGGGCAGTATTATGTATAGCCGTCTCCCATACACTCATTAGTCATAATATAGACAGATTTATAAATTGACTACCTTTGAACAGTCAATACTATTTAAACAGAATATGTGTAAGTTTAAACAGTCAGCAGTTAACTTCCTTGAGTTTGAACAATTTGCTAGTAGATAGGAGAAGGGGAGAGGAAAATACAAATATGATACACAGTCCTACAGGCTAGGAATACTCAGTGCATATGAAGAAAAACTAAACACCACTTACTTCAGATTTGGAGGATATGTTCTCCTCCATGTCAGAATCATTGGGATCCACAATATCATCAAAAGGTGGAAGAGTAGGTGTCTTCTTTTCCAGTGTATCACTTTCTATTTTGACTTTCCCCATCTTGAGTTGAGATCTATCCTTTGTTTGCTTTTTGTCAGCTGAACAAGTAAGAATCAGTGGTGGTGCACTAGAAAAACTTTTAAATAAAGACTCCGAGTTACTTTTTTTTCTTTTTTTGGCAGAAAGTTCATCAGAATCCAGAAGAGAGGGCCTTTTTGTAGGGGCCTTCTTTTCCTGCTGCTGTCCACCTGTTATGGTAAGGATGGGAGTGTTTTCAGATTTTGGCTCCTTGGACATGGGTTTGGGTTCCTTGAAGGCCATCCTAGGAACAATTTTTTCATCTTTAAGTGGTTTGTTTTCTTTGGGTTTCTTAGAAGATTCTTTGGAAGATTTGTTGTGTTCCCTGGAAGGTTCTTTGAAGGCACTTTTATGTTCTTTTGAGTCTTTAGAAATTTTTTCCTTGTGCTCCTTTATTAACTTATGGGGCTTTGAAAAACTGTTACTACCACTACTGCTGCTGCTGCTATTTGTGTTCATAATCTTAGTTGGGTCCTGCAGAAACGAGAAATACAACTTTATTTAAAAGCAATCATACAAAAACAAACAAAAAATCCTAAGATACAATATGCAACAGGATTCAAATTAAAAATCTGGACTAGAAACTACAAATGATTATGTAAAAACAGAAACATAAGATACACAAACCATCATTTTGGTCAACTTATCTGTTAAAAAGTGGTGGAACAGAAGCAGTTACCATTGTCTGTCAGTGTTGCCAAGAAAAGGAATGATTTGCATCTTAAGTACCAGATATGACTTTTAAGAAATATAACTTTTAAAATGAACATAAAAATAGTTTAGGAAACATTAACCCATGACTAATAAATGTCAGAAGAAAAAAAAAAAGTAAGAAAAGATCAGTACAGAAACCTGCACAGTGCCAGAGAGAATTAGTTCAGGATTAGAGCAAAGCAGGTGCTCTGATGACATTTCAGGCAAAGCTTGACTTCTCAACCATGATCCTCTCTCTTCAGGTTTTGCAAGATCCTGTTCCTCATACACAGTGACAACTCTGGGTCCAGCCTGGCTAAGGAGGACTTGATTGATCCAATATCTCAGTAGCCAATATCTCTTGACCGAAAACTTCCTCTGCTAACAAATCTTTCTTGTTTATTTTTTCCTCTTTTTTTGCTGCTGTCTATGCTGAATATTTCATTACGTGTTTTAACTCAACTGTTGCAAGTGAAAAGGGCTTTCCTGTGAGTGTGATGACAAACATCCTAAAAGATACGCAAAAGCAGAAAGAGCAGAGCAGTATCACTGGTTGCTCAGTTGCTTCAGATTTTTACCAGAGAAAGGTCAAAAGGAGAAGGAAAATAATGATCTACAGTTAGAACTGGCAATAAGGGAACGGAACTATTTGAACTAGATTTTATGGGATGCTTTCTTCTGAGAATTAACCTCATGTTCTCTGATCCTCAGTGTGCCCTTACTGAATTTTCAAAGGATAAAATACCCTGAGCACCACCTAATTCTACAGCTACAGCTTGCAGCGGCTGCTCAGTATTTCAAAAATCCTTAGTAGCCTGACTGCACTGACATAAATACTAAACATATTTAGTAACTCTCTCCAGAAATAAGGTTATTTTTATACTAGTTGCAATCTACAAAACGACATTTCAATTTACAGGAACATACGCTCTACAAGTTTAGGCTGTTTACTTCCTTACAGGTGGATTATAAACAAGTCTACCTATATATTGCTAGGCATCACAGAAGCTTTTAGGAAGAAATGCTTAAGCAGTAGTATTGCATACATCCATTGATTTCCTTTCCCTCTATCATTTTTGTTCTAGGTATAAAACCTAATATCCTGGAACTCTGGCAATATCAATATGATTTTTTTCTTGTTGATGTATTGCAAAATTTCTAAAAAGCCTAACTATAAGTACAGATTTATACAGAACAGGATTTCATTAACAATGTTAAGATAAAATAATAGGAGAAAAAACTCATACTGACCCCCTGGAGAATATAATAAATAAATGAAAATAAAAAATTCAAGTTTTACTGCTGCTGGAAACCCATAAGACTGGTAGCCCACAAACCCAGGATAACCACACTGAGAGCAGGATCTGCCCTGACCAGCCGCTATGCTCCATAACAGCATACAAACCTCCCAGTCAGGAGACCCAAATAATCCAACTCCTAATAGCAAGAACACCACTAATAACTTTAATGAAAGTGTATGGACTATAGTCATTCCAGCATAGCAAAGATTCCCAGGCCCATGCCTTACTTGCTGGCAAATATACATATTATAGCTGTGTAATCTTTAATTAGTCTTCCTCAGGACAAAAGAAGACAATATTTATCAGACTTGCAATCAGTTTAGTTAGCTGTGTCCCAACATACAGAGTGTTAGTGTTTTACAGTTACAATTTCACTGAATTCTGAAATTGAAAGAATGCAAAAACTACTTATAAATAAGTGTTTTTCCATTACAATCTTTATGCTAAGAAAGCATTGCTGAAAATAGGGAACTACTGAAAAGAATGTTTGCCCATATAAATATTAAAAAGGCACTTCTAGGTTTGATTTTTAATAATTTGGTTAGTAGTCCAAGTCATCTGCAGTCTGCGAAACAAAGTAGCACCCGTAATTCTCTAGTCTGTGTAAGATGAGATATCCTCTCATCTGTACAAAATTTATGTACAAATACCTAGCTCTATTTATTTTTCAGCAATCTGCACCAATGTTTACTCACTGTTCTGCAGTGATAAGAATCTGCTTTTCTTTTTCAGCCCTCTAGCATATATGCAGATTCAGTTTTTCTGGCTGTCTAACACTGCCACATATTTACAGAACAGCAGAGGGGAAAATATATTTAGCTTTTCTTCCCCCTTACTTAACTGCTGTTTTAACCACAATATGGACGGGAGAGCAGCAGCACACTGGAAACTAAAGGAACAAAGCAGGACATGCAAGCCTCAACCCTTACAGGGAATGACTAATTTTAAAAGTACTATCTGTAGAACTGCTCTGAAAAAACAAAACAAAATAAAACAAAAAAACACAAACCAAGATAGAATTAATCTGTTAAATGGAAGTTTTGTCAACAAGATGAGAAGTTAAGAAAGGGAATACACCCAAATATGTGCTGCCTACTAACCACATTAGCAAATCATCTCTACTTAAGACTCGTATAATCTGGATGTGTTAAGCTAATGATGAATGCTGTAAAACCTGGATGTTTGAAACAATCATATGTACAGAAAGACCAGTCTCCATTCTCCTCACTATCAACAGTGGAAAAAAAATAACTAAAAATAATTCTGAATTGTTTTCCTCTTCTCATGCTTTAAAAGTTACCTTAAATGATTAGCGAAACCCTGAATTTTCACACACATAGTGAATGATTTGTTGTTGTTGTTCAGTCACATTTCTTGCATCAGTACTACAAATGGATTTTCAAGTCATATTAGGAAATCTGGCTATATATGTACCAACGATAACAATGGACAGAAGCATCAGTCCAGCACCCAAAGCACCACCAAACAATCCAACTCAGATCTTGGAAGAGAAGGGGATATGGGAAAACATTGGCCCAAAAGTTAAATATATGCAGTATGGATTAACTTAAAAAGCAACCCTAATAAGTTTCTGGGGAGGCCCTACAGAGTTGGTAGAAAGGACGAATGTTCCACCAATAACCTACAAGAAAATACTAATTCTTCAGAAGTGAAATATTCTGTGGAAACATCAATTTGGAAAATGATATGAAAAAAAGAAAAAGCTTTGGTGCTTCCTTCCATGTAAAGTCGCTTCAAATGTTGGGAGGAAAACAAAAAAAGAAAAAAGATACAAACTAAATCATTGCAAAATAATTTGAGAAAAATTTCCAAAATAAAAATTTAAATCTTTACTACACTTTAGCAAAGCGTGGCTGTGATCAGCCAGCCAAAATCCACTTTCTTTGGCTAGCCCATGCTACATGCACTTTTCATTGTGGCTCTCTGCCACAGTACCGTTTTCCAAAAGGTTAATTTTGAAATTTACTTAGTCAGCTATCAGATTAATATACACTCTACTAAAATTCCACACTAATGAAAGATAAATAACTTACAGTTTTGCATTTTAAATAAAAGCTATTATTATCTTAAGCAGCAAACAATATTCTGATGACTTTTGAATGTCTGAATATAAGGCAATTCCTTGTTTCCCAGGCCACTAATTAAAAACAAAAATAAACATGTATTAATCATTTCTTGCACTGGATTACTTTAGTCAAGACTGCTTACCCATCTGAAAAAAAATAAAGTGGCTACATATTTTGTATTTTGTTTTATGCAAAACCAACCCCACAGCTATGTCCTATGAACTCCTTACTAATGCCTTTTATCTTCAGAGGTTGTTCTATCATGCCAGAGTTAGAAATGCTGCCCTTGGGAGAGATGGGATATGTGCCAGTCATAAACAAGATGCAGTTCTTTTTTTTTTTTTTTTTTTTTTTTAAAATAAACCTCCTTCCCATTATTTTTAAAACTAAAGGGGGAGGCTCACTTAAGTTGCTTTTCCAACAGATGAGAGCTATGAAGTAGGCCCTGGGGAGCAGTAGAACCAAAACCTATGGGAACTGGAGTTTTTTTATTTTTTTTAACTGTAAAGCCAGATTCCCTTCCTCATGGCAGCTGATGTTTTCATAAAAATAACAGTACAAATATCGGATCTATACTGTGATATTTAATACCATGTTTTCAATGACCCGCTTGTTAAGACAGTCAAACCCTTGCTTTTATGGATACATTCACTGTCTAAGTATAAAGTACCTTCTCTCACTTCCTAATCTTCTGCAATGACCCTAAAACAAGCCACCAAAGACACAGAGGAAACAATATGAGGCACTTAAGTTTAGAGTTTTTCTGTTTTTAAAATTATTCACTGATTACATTCTATCACTGTAATGATGAATGTGAAGGTGGGGATGAACCGTGGGTAAATTCTCACATCATGTACTGCATAGACCTTAATGTAAATCAGAATGTGCTTAATGCTTCAATGTTTGTTTTCTTCCCCACCTTAAAAACTGTTGTGAGGAATAAGAGTGAATGACGTATTTTTCTCAGGTGACTTATTAGATGGTCTTTTTTCAAGGTCCATATGCAATATAGAGACTGTGGTTTTTGACAGGTACTATATTTACATACCATAGCTTACATTTGTGTATTCATCGAATATTAGTTGAAGCAAGCCAAGTGGATGCTATACTTTGATATATTGCGTAACAAACATCAAAAGAATAACAGAGGATTATAGGCATGTTAAAATATCTGTAGAGGTTTTCTTTTATTAATCCAAGGAACAGCAAGCACAAATATTACTTCAAGATATATAACCCCTTTGACGGAGCAGCACTAACAGGCCTTTAAAATAAATAATTCAGAAAATATGATAAAAATCTATAGTCTTCTCAATACAGAAAAACGGTGTTGCTCAACAGGTAATGTATTTGCAAATTAAACCACTTCTGGAACTAAAGGAAAAGAATGGTGTTGAATTTTCTGTATATCTTGCAGGGCTGGATTTTGACTTCCTGCTACAAAATGCAACTCTCAGTTTGGTAAAATGTTGCTTTAGGATAACCAACGTCCTCTGAAAGTCATTTCAGACATCTCCAGTTACTGACAGACATTCTGAAGTTAGTTAGAAAGCTAGTTTGAGGAGGTCATTAAGTGGTTCATTAAGTCTGATTAAGTCATTAAACTGGATACACTGGCATGGCCATGCCCATCTACTGTATTTTCATGTTTGGTCTAAACACTTAGCATTAGCGGGCATAAACACATGCATTATTTTCACTTTTAATAAAAAAGGTCATTTCTTCAAATGTTACGCCTATTGAAATAATGTGACCCCATTAAGCCAACGGAATGGAATGAGTCTCAAATATGCTTTCTGCTCTTGAGAGAAAAAGAGGAGGAGGTATCAAAAAGGAATTACTTGCTTGTGGGAATTTAGATTTCTAATAAATACAAATATGTTTAGTATTCGATTGAAAAACACTAGTTGATTTGGATAGAAAAACAAGTATTTTAAAAGTTTCCATAAACACAGTGCTATTCTTTCACTTTTTAGTTGAACATTGGAGATGAATTCACTCGCTGCTAGTTCTTCTTAAAGATTATTACTATAGCTCACATTCCCAAAGCTTTCCACACTTTAGAAAACTTCTTGCTCGTCCAGCCCACCAGACCATTATGAGCAACGACAATTGGAGAAACAGAAGGAGCATCGGCTCAGTGGTTGGAAAAAGCCAGAACAAGTGAAGAAAACAGTTCCCCCCCCGCCCCCGCCCTCAGACACAGGAATAACAGGTTTCGGTTTTTTGTTTACAAAGTAAACTTCAATTTCTTCGCAACTGACAGTATATATTATTCTGAAATATATAATCATCCCAATAAACAGATCAAACTGTTTCTTATTACTTGCATATAGTATTTTACACTGTATAAACAGGCATACAAATACAATGGACTTAAAAGCAACAGAAATATCTGTAGCTAGTCTACAACTATTTGTATACTCTGAAAAAATTCAGAAAAATGAAAAATGCATACAATAAGGAAGGCTCAAACAAAAAATGTATTTCTGCCTGTCTTTATTTCTAAGAGTAACGTTTTTTCTTTTGAATCACAGTATCATGGCTCTCTAATACACAGAATTACGGAATTTCAGAAATATGGACACTCATATCTTTCAATGTGTGTTTCAGAAAAGTATCAGAGGAAGCAAACTTTGTAATGTTCTAAACATAAAACGTTGTAAATTTTTGGAAAATGAGCTGAACTAACAACATCGCTTCTTTGCGCAGATTTACTGTCTTGACTGCAATTCTCCGCTAAGCGGAAGAGCTGTGCAGTAGTTGGTACATGCTAAACAGTAAGCAAATATTTTTAGGTCCTTATTTTACATATTCAGAGCTATCAATTGACCTTTAAGTTTGGTATTTACAAATAAAAAATAAACAAACACCAAACCACGCACATCAAAGGAGTACTGCTACAGTAAATAATAATCATCATCCTGTGTGGACACTTGACAGGAGTACAAAGACCTACAGTTTTAGGGTACACATGTAGATAATCCACATGCAAGAAGTATTAAGACTGATAATTATAACTCTCCTATAGCTACCATTTTTAGAGGTATATTTGATTTAAATTTGAACGCTGAAGATGTTGCATCACACTCCATATATGAAAATAAGTAGTTATTCCAAATTACCAAGTAAATAATAAATTTAACAAATTGGCTGGAACACCTACCCCACAACAAAAACAAACACCCTTAAGACAAAAATCCAAGGCTTTTCAGTTCTCAGAATGTTGAAATAAAAGAACAGACATTTTTGTTATAGCAAACCAAGCTTACTTCTTGTTTCCATTCCTCAAAAATGGCTGAAGATCTTAAGTTGGGCAGATATTTACAACTGTTTCTTAAAAGACAGAAACAGCTCTTCATTAGTGTGTGGTTTTTAAATTAGTCAGGAACTATCCTGGACAGGAACTACCACTGCTAGGTAATAGTTTGCTGCTGATTTTATTTCAGGAGTGGAGCTATTTTATATTGGATACTGCCACAAGGAGGAGGTTGGACCAGCAAGGGGGCTGTATTTAAAATGATTTCAATTAGACAGCATTGCTGCTGATGTCCCTGTTTTGAAATGAAATACTTTGAAAACATTTATGGGTAAAAACATCGCAGAGAGTACAATTCTGAGTCCTGATGGACATCTGAGCTCATGCTGACTGCCACAACAGTGTTTTCTTGCTATAGTCAAACTCATTGCAGGTAATCGCCTAGGCAGAAGCGATGGATTTCTGATGCCTGAGGAAGGAGCACAAGAGACATGCAACACTCCCTTCACCCTCAACCACTCTCCACGCCTGCCAAAGTTTTTCGCACCAGACAAAAGTTCATTGCTTGAACAGGATTTAGAAAACAACATCCCAGTTACCATTTGCGCATGAAAAGAATTACCAAGGAGGTCCAAGACATACCATGGGGTTTAATAAGTAGGTGGAGCACAGTGTAGGACTTTATATAAGTTCTGCACTCTCCTGAACCTTTCTGTAGGAATCTGAAGATGCCTGATTCAGGCTGAGCTGCCGCATGCCTGCTCTGGAACGCAGGGCAAGACATGGGTGCATCCGCATTACAGCTACATCCAAACTAGCAGTTCAGAAACCGACTCTACAGCAGTATCCAACCTCACAAGGACCATATTATTGATAAGGTATCAGCCTAACTCATCTACAGGATCCAAGTGTTTGCAGCTGTGTCCTAGGCTAAGCAGCCGGGCAGTGACCTTCAGCACCCTGCATCCCTTCTTTCCAGCTGTGACACACCAATTTCAGTATGCCACAGTGCACTCAGTCTAGTCCTTGGATTCAGTCTACCTCACCTCTTCATCAAGAAAATGGAAGAGATCACACTTCCCTACTTCCTTCGGCTGCTGCAAGAACTGCATTACAGATTGTAAGGCACTTGGACACAACACAAACCAGGCAGTGACACACCAAGGAGAACTTTGTTTCCTTTTTGTTGTGATACCTTCTTACCAATGCATACACTTAGGCATAACCATAGTTCACTGCCTGGCAGTTCTTTCCAGGCATTAACATTTAGTACAGTTATAGAACATGAGAGTTATTGATGAAAACTACTATTGCTCTTGCAACACACAAAATCAGATGCCAATAAGATGAGGTGACGTATTTCAAGCTGGCAAATGCTACAAAAGGAGAATCAAAACCCAAATGATTTTAAAAGTAGAATGGAGAAAAAGCTAATTAATTTATGACGTCAGCAGTTGTGTTGCATTTACTTCTCATTTTAAGAACAACTGCATACTTTTTATTCCCCCATATTATTAATTTATTTTAACAAATTGAAGAAATTTGTTTGAAGAAATTCAAAATTGAAGAAATTCTCTGCTGTTTTGGAAAGGTTCATTTACATTTCTCAAGTAGTCCACTGGAGTGCATCTTTTTATCATTTTCTAACTTTGTGCAGTCAACTTGATGTCCTAGCAATTGACGGCATGTTGCTATCTTCGCAACATCTAGCAAAGAATAAATCTCTGAACTTTAAATATAATCAAAAACCCTAGAGAACACAATCTTTCAAGTTTCTCTCTATACAGTTATCTTAAAAATCATTCATTTAAAAATACTTAACAAATCAAATAATTATTTTAATACTTTCTCAAATTCTACACATTTCTGTAGATCTCACTAAATCCTCTTCTGGCTAAATAACCCAATTCCTTCCCTTTTCGTCCCTCTGATCCTCTGATATTGCAATACACAACTAGAATTCCTTCTGGGAGAGAAGGAAAACAATTGTATATGTTCAAAAACCAAATAAATAATTCCTTAATTGGCATATATTCTCACAACTATCCTAGCTCAGCATTACTTTTATGTGGCTAACCGTAAGGTCACATTAAAGAAATATGCCTATTATCATTGGACTATGTCACATGACTGTAGAAGTACCTAGGGAAATAACTTGAAAAATAATCTCTCTGGGTATGCCTCACTGGTTCAAGCATCTTCTGTCAAAATAAGTCTCACCTTCGGCCCATGAGATGACTTCTTCTTCACTTCAGAAAAAGACAGGGAGTTACTGGGAAGGCTGGGGAGATGAAGGCTCTGTCCTGAAGGGACCGATGTACCATCTGACATTACCATGATCTGCCATAAGAGGGAAAGCATATTAAGTCAAATATCAACACAGAGACTGAGACATGCACACAGACATAGTCTGACATGCCTAAGGAATTAGCAGATCACATTGGTAGAAGAATACCACCTCTCCAACAAGCACTACCTTTGTTTCTTTTCAATAGGGGATGGGTTTATGAAACCACACTGCCATCCTTCATTTAACAAACAAATCACACCTTTCAATTTCCATGTGAATATCACGCAAGTCCTTCAGGAAGTAGCACAATTTGTTCCATTACTGCTCCCTATATAGCACTATGCCCAAGACCTTAATTAGCATCTCTTCCCCTTGTCCTCATGTCTGGTAAAACTGAAAGTTTATCCCACGTGCAGTGAAAAGTTCAGCAGATTACTGACAACCCATAAAGAAATACGTAAGCACGGCAGTCTTTACTTTTGAATAAAGCAGTGTGATGAAAGATACGCTGTAAAAATAACCTTCATTTTTAGTTCACCTTTAGTATGCAAGTAGCACAATTCTAATACTGCCAAAGAAAGAGAATCCCTCATTGTCAAAGAGGCAAGTTGTGTATTAACTTCAAGCTTCTCCTTATCAGTTCTACAGGACACTGGATGGCTGGTGAGCAAACAGCGTTTTTGCCATAACAAGAAATACTGTGATCTGTTTCTTGATTTTAAAGACTCGTGATTACAAATAGATCAATCACAGAGGCTACAGAAAATTCAGCCTTGACTAGAGTGGTTACCAGACCTGTCAAATTCATGCTTTTCAGTTAGCTCCTGCCTGCGCTCCAGCACTGCTATGCCTAGATCTTTCTGCCTCTTAGCATAGTTATTAACTTACCTGTTACTTTAAAATCCCAAATGCCAGACATAGTTGACTTGCTGTCTGAACAGCATTGCAAATCTAGTGAGAAGTTAGAGCTCTGTAACGGCAGGGAAGCAGCTATCTCTTCCCACAAGGTCCTAAACGATGCAGTGTCACTTGCTTTCATGGATGCCCTGCTTTCATGGATGCCCTGCGCGACCGCTCTTGCCCCTCACACAATCCAAGGACTCCATCCTTGACCATAGGTTGCTATATTAAAAAAGAATGTTTTTAAAAGCTATTTATGTATCTATCAAACGTTTTGTGAAATAGGACTCTGCACAGAGCATGTAACAAATTTACTCCCCGATTCTTCATTTCTTTTTCTCAAATTTGTAAACCAGAACATGCCAGCAGACAGGCCTCTCAAAAAACTGGGCAAAAAACAATTACTTCCAACTTGTATTCAAGGTAAAGTCAACATCAGTTAGCTATTGTGGTTCAGCGCAATAGGTGATTTTACTTTAGCCTGCCAGATATTCTTTTACCTCCACTTGCCACAGGTTTTGGTTGAACTGAGCCTAGCTGAAAGCAAGAAAAGGCAGAAGCTAACAAAGAGAATGACCAGTAATAAGGATAATGTTACCACAAAATCTGCAGCCACATGTGTATACCACAAACCTGTGCAACATGTACAGAAAATGCATTTGTCACTACCATTATTCCCTCTCATGGACCCAGCCAAATTGGGTTTAAACAAGATTGTTGGTTTAAAACATCACACTGAGTTTAATTTAAAGGAGAATAACTTTCTTCACAGAAAATACCACCTGCATAAAAATCAGCTGACCTTTCAGTAAAAGTAAGTATAAGGTCACCCACCCTTAAAGCAGGTCTTTTATTGACACAGAGCAGTTCTTCTCATTTACTTGTATGAGTGAAAGGTGCATATCTACGTATTGCAGGAGCAAACAGTCAGGAGGATCTGGGTTTACTTTACTTTGACAATAAAAGCAAAGAAATAAAAAATTTTGCTATGGATCTTTCTTCTAGGGTTGGAAGTTGCCAGTTTCTCCTTGAAATATAACATTCTGACTAACTAAAATATGCTGAGGTTCAACCACTGTTCAATTTTTTTTTTGAATTTAAATCGGTAAAGAAATATTAGAAATATTTATGCATTCACTGTAGTACACAAATATTCTCACAAAGCTAATGTTTTAAAAGAAGCTTATAGATCTTTTAGATATCTCAGTTTCCGGGCTGGTATCCATTAAACCTGTATTTGGACTATTGACATCCACAATGTTCCAGAATATATATTTAGAAACAGCATGGCTCTCTACAGAAAGATCTGTAGGGCTGGGATGGCATTAGTACCATCTCAGTCCTGTCAAATCTAGCTCCAGATAGAAAGACAATAAATCCAATAGAGATTTCAGAAGGCAAAATATGGGTATTCCACATAACCCCACAAATTTCTGTATAATTAATCGTGCAGCCTGTTATTTCACTATAAACTCAGTGAAATCGCAATTCTTGAATCAGAATTTTATTTAATGTGATTAACAATGTATGCAATAAGATAGAATATCAGTTCAGCATACTGTCATCAGTATAAAGATGACAATAGCCCAAAGAAATCTTATGGCCTATTCATTCCTATGGCAAAGCACACACTTCTCTTTTAAATTGATCTCTGTCAGAAAAAGAACTTGGTCCTCACTGAAATCTTTTACCTCAGAAAAAAACACTTTTCTTCCTTTCCCTCTCAAAGAACAAGAGGAATATTAAGATTAGGTAAATCGCCAGGAACTCTGAAATGCTGGTTTTGTACGCCAAGATGATCTGTATAGAAAGTCCTTCGGAAATGAAATGCATTTTCTTGTTCATTAAATTTAGGAAAGAGATAGCTACACATCCAGTTCAAGCACTACAACTGAAATAACTCAGCTGACAAAATTACAGCAACTGCAAAACAGTGGGTACTCCCCGCCCCGCCAGCTCCAATTTATCAATAGTAAGTTGTTGCACATACAGAAACACTCAGCCTGACCTTTGTACTTCAGTCAGATTTCAGAGCAAGTCCCTACTTTTCAACTGCTGCTATCAAGCATGTACATATATATCTGTACACACATACATACACACATGGCACATTAAGTCCAGGCTAGCACACCCAGAAGGTAAAAACATGAACGCATATATCACAGCAAGCTACTAATTCTGCAGCAAGAATGAAAGCCAATCAAAAACATAGCAAGAGTTCTCCAGGACAACTACTCAAGCTGTGGTTTTTTTTTAAACCGTATTTCTCTCCTTTGCACTGCAAGTTTCCCACCGGGTTACAGTTGCAGGCGACCAATAGGTCAAAGACACTGCTGCAGCCCTCGCTTAGGCCGAAATCACCTTAGGCTTGTGCTTCCCAGCTTCTACAGTGAACTGCTACAGGGACAGAAGTCAGCAGCCTTATTAATTTTTCTCCTCAGGCCCTTCCACATCTTTGCTCTGCTCATACAGGTCACCAGGTTAGGGGGATCAAGACAAGCTGGTGGGGTCAGACACCAGCACTGGTCTTAACGAAGCAAGGTGAGATCACAGAGGCAACAGCTTGGCTTTAAACAAGTCAATTAAAGTGGTCATGTAAGCACACCGTGAATTCACCAGTATTTAAAGAATGAAGTTCCAGTTATAGTTGTGCTGTTCTCTCATAAATTTAGCATAAGATTATTGATATTAAACTAGAGCAAAGGCCTAGCTAAGCTCACACCCTGTCTTTGATGTGGTCAACAGTGATAGTTTGAGGAAGACTCACTCTCTCAGCTTCCAGCAATCAATGGTTTAGGGAATTCCCATGCCAAAGGCTCTATCCACATCACTGTCTTTAATAACTTTAATGCTATTCTGTTTGACAGACTTCCATGAGTTTGTCTAATGGCTTTTTTGATTCATTTATATTTCTGGGATCTGAAACTCCTGCGGCAATGAGTTCCACAATTTAATTATGCATCTTTAGAAAGTATTTCCTCTTGCATATTTTAAACCCTGTGTCCGACTCCCATTTGGTACCTTGGTAATTGTCATGTTATGACATGGTATCCCACAGTCTGGGCTTATCTAACGGCATCCTGAAGTGTATTATTGACATGCGAGTTTTAACTGTCAAACAAGTTAAAAGGCTCCAGGCCTTACAATGCAAATTTTTGTCCAAAAAATGATTGGCTACTGTGGAGGTGATTGATCATGCAAGGGTCATACAGAAACAGAAGCAAACTGCTTGGCAAAGTGAAGAGTCTGGCTTAGTCAAAACCTAGTGATTAGCAGGGTGCCAGAGGATCTCTGTGAGAACTGAATGAGCCAGTGGCACGATGGCAGTCCTGCTACTCGTGGAAAAATCCTTCAAAATCTCATTCCCTCTCTCCTGAAAATATGAAGACCAAAGCCACTGAAAGAGAGAAAGTAATGAAAAAGTCCTTCCCAGAAGCCCTAAACACTTTTGATAAGAAAAAGATAATGGTGGGTCAGGTCAAACAGCTACATAGTATGGGCAAAGATGGTGCCTCATAGAGGAACTACAGAAGGTATATTGGGAAGGTATTGATGGGCTTGGCCACATCATTTCAGTGGCATGAGAGAAGGGTTAGGGAACCTAATACTAAGCTGAGAAGAAGACTTAAAATAACAATTTCAGTGGTAGCGTATTATACTAGGCTTTTCCAATACCAAACTCAGGATCGGATAGAAAGGCGGTCTCAACATAAGCTTAAGACTAAAGCAGATAAAGCAGATGCTTCTAACAACCAAGCAAACTTTGGAAGTGATGCAGAATCATACGGAAGCATGAGCTCTAAATCAGTACTACTACTTGAAAAAAAAAAAAAAACACTTAGAGAGATTTTAAAACATGGGACTGGAAAAACACAGACAAGTGTAGAGAAAATACTTCCTGAATGAAGCTAGAAAAAAAAAAATTAAGTTCAGGTAAGAAACAATGAAGTTTGAAAAAAGAGTGCTGTTTAAATAGGTCATGTAAAAACACTCAGTTGGACATAGTTCTCCTTCACAAACATTAGACAGTTTTGAAAAAAAGTTGGGTGACTTGGAATAGCTGGTCTGAATACGCATTAGAAACAAGAGTAAAAGAAAGTAATTCACTCCACAGTGTTACGCCAGGGCATAAGAACGACACAAATGACAG